TGACAACATGTGGGGATGAAAAATTGCATCTGAATATAAGACTTGCTATCATCATGACACATTTTCAAAATCTACCAAAATTAATACTAACCATTGCCCAGGTGTGGCTGGGCACCCCCAGCTTGTATATATATATATATATATATATATATTTAGTAAGTCTGTAAAAAACGCAAACATTTTCAAGGCGATTTCATTATTAGCAACAAAAAAAGCTGAATTATCCGACCAAATCGGATTCTTCCAAAATGCCTTCGCCATCGCGTCAAGTAAACTTTTTGGATCATCAGAATTTTGTATTTCAATCAGAGCAGTGACGAACTTTTCTATTGAAAAATCCCTGGTTGTTAGTTTAGCTGGTGTTCCATCATTTCCAACGGGCATTATGTTCAGTCCTTTATCCAGCATTGAAAAAAAGAGCATATGACGACCATTTTTTAGTATGCTCATATAGTTCGAATGTACGTGCTCATTATTTTATTTGACTTGAAAATTTAAAGGAAATCTATTTTTGGAAATGCACGTATTTGTGTGAGATTTTATTGTCATTGAAAAAACACCTCAATAATAAAGTGTATTCCGGTTTTGCAATATCCTGAAGAAAATTTTTCGAAAATCGAATCACTATTTTCTGGTTCCCGAAGTGCATATATTTACACACAACATTCGAATAGTTTTTGAAATTCAATCAACGACAAACTAGAGTATATAGAAGACGGTTTTTCAATGTTCGGCGTTGGAAAAGTTTTTACATGCAGTGCTAGATCGCACGATTAGAAATGAAAAAAATAACATATCATTTAGTGGATGCTCGTTTGATAGAATGTTCTGAATTTTTTTTCTTCTTGTGTTACGATATTATTCATTTTCCACATTGATGGTTGAATTCCAGATTTGAACTTAGACACGGACGTTTATCGCAACCATGATCTGGGTTGTGTTTCCTACTGAACATACCTACATGAGTAAGCGCAAGTTGACGTGTACTTCATGGTTCCTGATCCTTGTGCTCATTGGCTCTTTGACATCAGTATACATCATTTCACTGCATTTTGCAGCAAGCGCGTGCCGGTCAACATTAGGTGAGACAACAATTTTTCAATCGAAACAAAAACAAACAAAAAACACGTTGACTGACCATGTTCGGAAGTCATTTTTTCCGCATCTGCGTACAATAATTAAATCTCATGGCAAAAAGTCTCGTTATATGGATTTTTCGTAACTAACTTTTTTTCTTGATCCCAGGCAGTTTTGCTTTATAGCGCAGATGATAGAATGTTGTTTAGCAAGCTTATTCAAGCTGTAATTGCAGCGTGACGGATTTTCGCATTAACTGTGTGCATGGCATGAACATCAGGGATTATTTTAAAATTGGCAGAAAACCGAGAAAAAAACTAACTTGTAAGGTATTGATAATGCGTCAAAAGTCCAATCTTTCGGCAGAGAAAATGCAGTGTTGAAGGAAATAGGCAGCATGCCATTCTGCCATATTTCTTGAAAATGTGCTGCCTCGATTCGAGAATATCAGCATGTCTTTTGATTAAAAAAAGCCTCATGTTCAATACAGTATTGCTCTACAGTATTTCAAAGACTAACTGGTATAAATGGATAAGATAATTTGGAAAGAAGCAATTCTTCTTCTTATACATCTGTTTAATTTTATTTGCAAAAGACAAATAACAAACTACGAGCTGTAGTGGAAAGGGAGTCTCAATAAAAGATAAGTACATTACTTGCAAATGTTTCCTCTTAATTGCATGAGAGGGAGACAAATTCATGTATAGAACAGATCATCCCTTAAATGTAACCACATGAGGCGAAGCCCATATACATTGTGTTGAACATTGCAAACTAATCACAAATGTTTGAGATTAGAAGTTCCTTAGCAAAATAATTAGAATTCTAAGTAAAACACAACAATCAGCCCAGGACTGACTAGGAGCCTCTTTATACAGGCTCAAGGAACTTATATTCATTCTTGTCCCAAAACAATATTATTGAACTCAAATAATTTGTGAACTCAAATGCCTTTACAGAACAAAGCATAAAATCTTACAATATCTTTGATCACATTCTATGATTCTATGCATAATTTTGAGCTCTGCATGCCTCAAGAATTGGTATTGGAAAGAGTTCTAATAAGTCTGGTTAGTGGAGAGGAAGAAGGAAGAGTAGGAAAGTGGTCTTCTTTGAGTGGTTTTTTTTAGCATTTCTTATTGACTTTGGGAGGCACATTCGTAGACAATGCTGCACATCCTAGTGCAGGTTTTGAAGGTTCTTGGGGGCAAGTTCTTTGGTGCTGGGATACAACAGACATGTACATTTATTGTTCTAGAACGAGGTAAATATGAGGAAATCAACCGGAAACCCCTGGCCAACCATCAGAGGGAAATAGAAAAAGGCTCTGGATGGAACTTGGAGACGTTGCCTGAAAAGGTACTTCAGTTTTTTTGTTTTTTGAAAAGATTATGTCTAATGTATGGGCCAGTTCATGAGTATTTCATATTCTTTCCGCAAATAGTGGAGCGAAATTTCTCGGGATCAAAATTTCGATGAATTGGACGAACAAATACTGGAGGTGGAAATGGCAAATGTACCAGTTTCCTTTTGGAGATCCATCAAGCCCAACTTGTCGGAATACAACATTTACCCTGGATGTGGGCAAATGCCACATATCCTAGAACTCAATGAAAATAATCTCGTTTGGCAGACGTTGTCCACAGGGAATGGCATGTTTCATCTGTATTCCGCTCACTACGACATCAGACCACTGGTTTCAGAACCCACCATTCGGATTTTCGGCATGATCAACAGGCTGCTGCACCCAAAGGTGGGAACCATGTGTCAAGTTTGGTTTGCGAATGACACGATGCCATTGGCAGTACCGGTTGTCAAGTACCGCTTCCTTCGGGACGTGGACTCAGGAACAATCGGCAACATGTTCTCCTACTCTATTGAATGTACTGTTCCACAAAGCAAAGAGAGTGAGATTCACCCAGTTGCAGTTTCGCTAGTTGTTGATCAATGCGACAAAGCCACAAATCTTCTCAAAGTTTCACATGATGTGTCAGAAAGAGATTTTTTACACTGCTTTCAGACAAGGAAAGAAAATTAGAATTTTCCTTCCGATGAAAAAAGAAGGATCGAGGAATTTCTACTGAATATGAATCGAAACGAAAGGATTGTAAA